GGGCGGGCAGGCCAGGGGGGCACATGGGGCACGTACCCAGCGGTGTAGGGCAGCCGCACCAGCAGCAGGGCGGGCAGGCCAGGGGGGCACATGGGGCACGTACCCAGCGGTGTAGGGCAGCCGCACCAGCAGCAGGGCGGGCAGGCCAGGGGGGCACATGGGGCACGTACCCAGCGGTGTAGGGCAGCCGCACCAGCAGCAGGGCAGGCAGGCCAGGCCAGGGGGGCACATGGGGCACGTACCCAGCGGTGTAGGGCAGCCGCACCAGCAGCAGGGCAGGCAGGCTGGCATTGAGGCGAAGCTCCCTCAGGGTGCCCGGCTCCACATGCAGGGGGCTCAGCCCCAACTTCTCTTTCAGCAGCCCCAAGACGCCGGCGGCCGCCGCCCCCTGCACAGCTGGGAGCACCAGGGTTGAGGGGGCCCCCGCCAGGGCGCTCTGTGTGTGTGGGAGGGAAGAGTTAGAGACAGGCACCTGACCCACAGCCCCCCACAGCCCTTCACCCCCGACCATCAGGGTCCCTTACCCCACCCTGCAGAACCTGCCACCCCCCAACCCACAGCCCCATCACGGTCTCTCACTCCTGAGCCACGGCCCCGCCACCTATCCCCCTCCCAGCCCCACCAGTTCTGTCCGGACCCCCCTTGCTCACCTCCAGGCTGGGGAAAGCGCTGTCGGGCTTGTTGCCGAAGACCCCCCCATACGCTGTGAAATCCTCCAGGCTGAGCTGGGCAGGGGGGAAAGAGGACATTAATGGGGGGTGATTTGAGGCCCCCCCAGGCCCAGCTCCCTCCCCACTGGGCATGATACATGTATTATTGGGGGGGAGGGGGGCAGCACAGAAGCTGGAATCTCACAGGGAGATCAGTCACGGATCACATGATGGGCTGGGCTCACTTCCCCTTACAGAGGGGCTGTGAGGGGAGAGGACAAGCAGGAGCAACCTCCTCCCCCTCCCACCCCCCCAGTGACAGGGCCCGGGCTGGATTCTGGGAGCCCTGTGGGGCTGCCCCCCACCAAGGTAATTGCCCCCATAGTCCCCAGGGAGCTGGGGACCCCAGACACCCCAGCAGTCGGGAGGCTCCCCCACAGACCCCCAACCCACCTGGCAACAGGCGGAAGCACCCAGCTGCTGCCCCAGGCCAGAACCCCCAGGCTGAGCCCCACGAGCACAGCGGGGTAGGAGCAAGACAGATAAGTGCATTGTGGGGGGGACAGTAGAAGGCCGAGGTACTTGGGGGGCAGGGGTGTTGTGGGGTTCACTGGGGCAGGAAGACGGGAATCTTTAGGGCCAAAGGGTATTTGGGGGGCCCAGAGGCCAGGCAGGGGGACCCCCTGGGACCTTGTAGGGCTCCCTGTATTTCAGGGGGCCCAGAGGCCAGGTAAGGGGACCCCCACAGGGGGACATAGAATCAAATCATAGGACTGGAAGGGACCTCAAGGGGTCTCCAGTCCGGTCCCCTGCACTTAGGGCAGGGCTAAGGATCATCCAGCCCAGCCCATCCCATCCCTGACAAGGGTTTGTCCAACCTGCTTTTAAAAGCCCCCACAGCCCCCCCGGGGCGATTTGTTCCAGCGCTTAGCCACCCTGACAGGAAGTTTTCCCTAACGCCCCCCAAAGCCTCTCTTCTCCAAACTAAAACCCAGGGGCTTCAGTCTTCCTGCATAGCGCCACGTTTTCTAGCCCTCGGATCCGTGTTTTGTTCTCTGGACGGTCTCCACTTTGCCCAGGTCTTTCCTGAACCGCGGGGCCCAGCTCTGGACACAGGCCTGCAGCCGGGGCCTTGTGAGCGGGGGCAGAATCACTGCTGGTGTCGGGCCTGCGACACTCCTGCTGACACAGCCCAGCACGAGATTGGCTCCCCCGCAGTGTAGCCTTATTGACTCATATTTAGCTTGTGATCCACTGACAGCCCCAGATCCCTTTTCCCGGTACTCCTGCCTGGGCCGCCATTGCCCATTTGGGCATGGGGGGCAGCTGTATGTGGGGGGGGGGGGGGGCAGAGGCCAGGCAGGGCCTCTCCAAGGACACGGGGGGGGCGGCTGGCTGTACTAGGGGGCCCAGAGGCCGGGCAGAGAAGACATGGGGGAGGCTGTGCTGGGGAGCCCAGAGGCCAGTGGGGGGGGGAAGAGGAAGGGGTGCCCAGGGGCCGGGGGGACCCAGCTTGGGGGGAAGAGACAGGGGGACGGGGGAGAAGAGACATGGGGGGGCCAAGGGGACCCAGAGGCCGGGCGGGGGAAGAGACGGGGGACAGGACTGGGGAGGGAAGAGGCGGGGGGGCTGGGAGGACAGGACTGGGGAGGGAAGAGGCGGGGGGGCTGGGAGGACAGGACTGGGGAGGAAGAGGCATGGGGG